AGTGTTTGGAATTCGGTGTGAGTGTTTGGAATTCGGTGTGAGTGTTTGGAATTCGGTGTGAGTATTTGAAACATGCGGTGTGAGCGGTTGGAATTCGATGACAGTGTTTGGAATTGGGTGCGAGTGTTTCGAATTCGGTGTGGAGTTTGGAATTCGGTGTGCACTTGTGGGCCACCGTACTATAGTACTACGGACCTTTTAAATGAAACAACAACATATAAACATTTCATTGAATTTTTAGCTATATATAGCTAATAATTTACATATTGTAGCTACAATTTAAAAACAACACAATAATGCAACAATACAAAAGATTTAGATACGATTTAAAGTGTTGATGTTTAAACATTTTAAAGAAATATCAAATAATATTAACATGCAACCAGTTATACTACTAGCCTCCTTTGCAGCCGCTGTGAGGCGCTTCCGGTTCCCGTCCTTCCCCCACTAGCGTCTGCTCAAACTTGAACAACATTCCTTTCTTCAAAATTGACCAATCAGAGAGAGCCCCACAAAATCTTGTGGGTATGACCTTGACCTTGGTACTGTATTCGGCGTAGTCTTGAAGGTCTTTCAATCCACCAAGTCTTTCTAATATACATGGGATATCCAACTGACTTCTACCAAATATTCTTGTACGGCTTTTCTTAGATTCCTCTTTCTTACATATAAAACATATATCGTTAAAATTCGAAACTTTTTTGGTCGTATTTTCACATTTACGTGATACATGTGCAAATATAAACTGCAAACTTTCTTATGCCATTTTGCACGGGAAAATAAAAAAATTGCATATCACCTAGCAATTTGATTGGCTAATAGAAAACAATGAAGAAAGGAATGCTGTTCAAGTTTGAGCAGACGCTAATGGGGGAATGACGGGAACCGGAAGCGCCTCACAGCGGCTGCAAAGGAGGCTATTATACTACAAGATCAAAACATTTTATTGAATTTTAACGATAAATGGTTTAAAAAAATGCAAGAAACATTAACTTAGTTTAGACAGGATTTGGATGTCGAAACAAATTTGTAAAGACAAAAGCATGGTTAAATCGCCCACAAGATACGTTTCGCCAAGCTAAAGCCAGGCGTGCACAATTGTAATTGTAAGTTAATCGTTCAAGTACTTAGACATCAAAAGAGACAGCTTCAACAGGTATACTAAAACTCTATATGTCAATTGTAATTGGATTGCAAAATTAATTCTTCCATCCTTTTTCATGCATTACTCTTAGTTTAAAATGTTGAAACTTATATTTAGGAATAAATATTCAAACATTTATATCAAGAGTTGTTCGTTTTAGATTTAAGCCATGCGTTTATCCAGTATTATAATGAACATGTAGCGACGACTCCTCACAGTAACGCAACATCGTCCTGTTTCTTTTCGGCGCTCAGGGAAAATTTACGAAGACGAAAAAGAAATATTTTCTATAGCTAAAACAATAGCAGCATGATAAACAGAGACTAATGGTTTTTAATATTTCATAATAAAATACAGGGTGAAAATTTGGTTTCATAAGCATTACATTTGCCGATGAAAACTAAGGGTAGAAAACGTCTATAGAAAAACCGTCGGGAATGAACGTACAAGTCACATTCATAACCTTGTTGTTTTTAACAGATAAAAGCTGTTTGAGTGTGTATTCTTTGGGCGCAAGAGTAAGTGGTGTGTATTTGATTGATCCTGATGGGCAAGGCTCATTCCCAGTCTACTGTGATATGACCACTGACGGCGGAGTGTGGAATGTCTTCCAAAAACGCTTCGACGGCTCACTAGATTTCTATCGCGGTTGGCAAGACTACAAAAACGGTTTTGGTGATCTGACTGGTGAGTTTTGGCTGGGCCTTGAAAAGATCCATCGATTGGTTAAAACCAACAGTTTCACACTGCGAGTTGAATTGGAAGACTGGAATGGAAGCAAGGGGCATGCTGTATATTCTTCATTCAAAGTAGCAGGCGAGAGCGATTCTTATCGCTTGGATGTAAGTGGGTTTGGGGGAACTGCAGGAGATGCTCTTTTGGAAGGCAATGCTCTCGAAATTCACACCAGTATGCCGTTCACTACCCATGACAGAGACAACGACGAAAACACCGCTGGCAATTGTGCAGTGGATTCACACGGGGCATGGTGGTACAAGAACTGCTACTCGTCTAACCTGAATGGTAAATATACAGGTAATGCTGTGGACGTCCAGGGAATGGTTTGGAAGACTCTCACAAATGAGCGAAGAGGACTCAAGAAAGTAGAGATGAAAATAAGACCAAGTGATTTTGGTAAGTGCACAGGCCGTTGAAATAATCTAATTGCCTATTGTTTACGTTCTGGTGGGGGGAAAAGTATTTGTTTCTGAGATATGCCGTAACCCCCCTCCTCTATCCCTCCTAAAAGTTTTGAGATTGACACCTTCTAAAAGGCTATTAATTTATGCATAAAAACATGTCAGATATAAAGAGGATATTACATGAGCGCGCGGAAATACGAAATTTATCTTCGAGTGTTGAAAAGATCTCTCACAAGTGAGCGCAGCGAACGAGTGAGAGATTTTCAACACGAGAAGATAAATATTTCGTATCTCCAAGCGCCCATGTAATATTCTGTTTATTATATATTTATCCATAAAATCAACTTAATAAGCTTTTCATTATTATTAAAAGTTTTTATTAATAGAACAAATAGCTTAAATACACATGGGAACGATATTTTCACATGTGAAAATAACATGTTATTTTCACATGTGAAAATATCAGTTTTTCGAAAAGGAGAAATATAGGTATTTTATGGATAATTATATGATAAAACATAGTAACAGGGTTGTCATACATTTCGCTAGGGCAAGATCCTTACCAGTATCTCCTTATCACGATCATTCATTACTTTATTGATAAAATATAGAAAAAAAAGAAAAGATTAAGAAAACTGGCTTTTTACATAAAGGTTAAAATGCTAGGGCGATGGTTTGCATTGACATTCAATTCAATGCAAATCCGAGCACGTGCGTTTTAACTGGTTTAAAAAAAAAACACACAACTAAGCCCTATTTTTAATTTCAATGGGAAACCTGTCCTGGGTTTTGAATTCAGCCCCGCTCTCCCCTGTTAGTATCAATGCTGAATTCAAAACCTGGAACAGGTTTTCCATCGAAATTTAAACTCGACATCAAACAATAGAAATAGGGCGTGGTTAGTTTTTAAAATACAGTAAAGTGGAGTACAGTGCAGTGCAGTATGCTTCTCTAATGTTGACTTAGTCAACTAAGAGCCAGGGCGAACCGTCGATGAATCACCCTGTTGAACTCAGTTTTGAACTGCTACAGTATCTTTGCTTGTTCAACTGACGTTCCCAATTGACATTTGTTTATTTCTAAATATATTAAAATATATTAAAATATATTGTACGATTACTACCCTTATCGTTGAAGTGCGACCCGCAAAGTTCAATGTCTCGTTTGCTGACTATAGTATTTTGACGACTGTCAATCAAAGAATGAAATAAAAAATCTTGAGAGAGATTTTAGACTGAATTTTAATCCTAAAAAGATTTTACAGGATTAGAGGGTTAAAATCTCTAATTCAGTCTAAAATCTCCTTAGGATGGTTTTTTAAAATTTCGGTTTTGTTGATTGACGGTCATTAGAATGTGTTAGTCGGCAGAAGACTAACTATGGCACTTCGCGGGTCACACTTCAACGATCATGGAAGTAAATCACCGAGATAAACCGAGACGGACATTTTAGTATTTCGAAAAGAAAATAAAGTACAAATTATAAATGGCGGCAAAGTTATTGGGTCCCTTAGCTCCGGGGTTCCTGTAATAATATAATAATCTCTAGCACCCACATTACTAATAACCTTGTTTGCTTGGTTCTTATATACAGTTGGCAGTCCATGCTCAAGCAGTCCTTGTAAGAATCGAGGTACATGTACAGTAACTACGCCTACTACCTTCCAGTGCACGTGCTCTCTTGGTGTTACAGGCTCACTTTGTGACATAGGTATATAATCAAAGTGCTAACCCCTTTTCATTTTGCCTTACCCTCGGAATTTTATATGAATGTTTAGCATTAATTCTGTATTTCTTTCTTGATGACGAGTGCAGTAAAGAGGGACTGCCTAGCGCTGTACTCTGCAGGATACACCAGTGATGGAGTTTACACCATTAAACCAGACAGTCAAAGCCCATTCCGAGTCTATTGTGATATGACGAGCAATAACGACGGGTGGACGGTCATCCAGAGAAGAACCGATGGCTCCACAGACTTTTTCCTCGGCTGGCAAGATTACAAAACCGGTTTTGGTAATCCGAATGGAGAGTACTGGTTGGGAAACGAGAAAATCCATCGTCTTACATCACTCGGTCAAAATACTTTGCGAGTTGAGCTAGAAGCCTGGGACGGAAGCAAATATTTTGCTAATTACTCGTCATTTCTTGTAGCCAAAGAGAGCGAGTCTTACCGTTTGAATGTGAGTGGTTACCAAGGTACCGCTGGAGATTCTTTGTCGGATGGAGCCAATCAGAATGTTGTGTCTAATGGGATGAAATTCAGTACACGTGACATGGATAATGATCTCGCTGCCAGCAGTTGTGCCAATACAAATGTTGCCGGATGGTGGTTTAGGAACTGCTCTGCGTCCAACCTTAATGGGAGGTATTTAGGAGATAATGTCGATACAAAAGGTGTGACGTGGTACTCTTTAAGTCTTGAGTATAGATCGCTGAAAAAAGCACAAATGAAGATTAAACTGGGTAAGCAAGTTTGATTTACATATAAGTTAAGTTACACTTATTTTAAAAATAATATAACAAGAAGAACCTACAATGTCATGGTTTATTTAAATCAAGTGTAAAATGTGATTTAAGGAATGTAAGGTAAAAATCCAGAAGTCTGGAATAAGGATTAAAATTAAGGGAGAAAAAGGTTTTTAAAGTCAAGGAAAATTTGTATTATCAGTGGACATTTTTACAAGAAGTATCTTTTGGCTGAGGCGTTGAGTGAATCGTAATACATGTAGAAATTACATACGCTCACCAAAAAAATGCAGGTTGGTTGCTTTCATTACTTAGGGAGCTGAGGTGGTGCTCATTCCCTTTGAAAAACTGATAAAAAAGTATTACAGCACAATGAACTATGAGCATGAGCAGCAGGCTGGTTTCTGATATTTTGAATATATTTTTATATTTCTAGTGGTCACTCCATGTACCAGCGAGCCGTGTCTCAACGGAGCAGCTTGCACAGTGACATCATCAAGTAACTTCAGCTGTACATGTACACCTGGCTTCATGGGGTCCCTGTGTGATCAAGGTAAAGCATAGAGCCACTAACACTATTATGTTTAAGAATGCTCTATATTATAAATAAAAGGGGAAAATACGTTTTTACATCGAAACATAAAACATTTAGAAATATTGTTATTTTGATTCTGACACTTCCTTCTACTTCGTCGAGTGCTCGAGCGACAGGGGAGAATAGGCTAGTGACGTCAAAGGAAGAAAACGTTTTATTTTTCTTTCGTTTCTTGTTTTTTTAGTAGTCTTGGTTTTAACAGCTTCTACGAGGAAGTTCATTACCTAAATATTCGATTTTCAGTTTTTATGGGGATTCGTAGCCTAATTTACTGGTATTTGAAGCAAGTGAGGTGTTTGAAAGGTTTACGACTCGATCAAATATACAAAGTACAGCAGCATGGATAAGAATTATATAAAGCAGTTATAGGAAAGTTTTGCTCAGTGCGTTAACATTTTAGTGACTATTAAACAGGGGTGTATTTATTGCAATGTTCAAATGGCTATGATGTATGGTTGGTACAAAATTACCATACGATTACCTTCCTAACGCTATGCTTTCTATAGTTTGAGGACATTAGACAAATAAAATAAATGACTCTTTGCTACCGTGAATTTCCCTTGATAAATGATAAACTTCTTCATTGGTAGCAACTGGTTCTAACTCTTCAGTTAATAGACAGTGTGAGCTTCCAAAGGAGTTTCCATCATTCGAAAAAGTATCAAAGATTTAAAACATGAAAGGTCTATTTCTATCATTCTTTTCTCCATAACGCGCTTAAAACATCAAACGAACTTCAGATAATTTGTATAGGAAATCGCACGATCTCGAGTACAATTTTCAAACATTAAGAGTGTCTATTAATTCCAAATTGTACGAGAAGATCATGCGATTTTTTGTTTATAGTTCACTCAACAAAATTTCAGTAAGAAATGCGAAGCGACGCCGTTCATCTTTGTCTATTTGGCGGCCAATTTTCAGTCCATCGCGCAACTGAAATGCATAAAAAAGATTATTTCTTACGGCTTTAAAATTTTATTTATATGTTTTTTAAGTACAAAATGATAGAAAATAATTGTTTTGACATTGTTTTGGCCGTGTTGCCATAGCGACTTAATTCGGTACTTCTACGGAGTACAACTAACGCTATAATTGTACTCCTCTCGACCAATCAGAGTCGAGTAATTTTGTTGAGTGTACTATAAAACAAGAAAAAGAAATGTATAGTCAAAGCGACGCTAACATGAATGTATTGCATGCATGATGTAACAGCGTAAAACCGCTGTAAATAATAATTCTTTGGCCGTGAGTAAACAAGTGCAACTTTATAGCCTTTTTTTATAAAAGGATTCTATAATTATAAGAATATTAACTTTTCAATTCTCCCATAGTTGCAAGTTAACCAATGGTAGATTTTTTTAAAGCTTTCTTAACTCACCAAACTTTTCGAAAAACAAGATAAAAAAATTGTGTACTAAATCGAAGGAGAACTTTCTCTATTTTTTAATAGTTGGACCACAGACCTAGCGCAATCAAAAAGTTTTTCATTGTCTGAGAAGTAAGGAATGAAAGTTTTTAGCGACTTTCAAGAGTTTGAATTCGACATGAATGAAAACGACAAGCGCCTTTCCTACAAGCTTAATGAAAACGGTAAAGGAAAAGGATTTTATATTGGAAGCCTTACACTAAGTTTTCAGTTACAAGCTTCGAGTTTTCACTTTAACATTGACCGGCAAATTGCTTCAAACGACCCTGCAACGCAAGTGGAAGAGTATTCCTAAGGAGTACGCACGATCTAAAATTAACTTTTCGGGAATTCTGATATCCCAAGAACAGCGCGAGAGTCCCTCTCTGTCCTTCATGGTCTCTTGTATACATGTACAGACTTCATTCAGAGACAACACTGATTTTTTTAGTAGAGATGGATCGAAACATATCCAAACTGATAAAGACAATTTGCTCGTGACAAGGAAAGGCAAAGCCTCCTCGGAAGGTTTATAACTAGAAGTCAACCTGGACATTCATTTGTTTAATTAAGTTGGGTCAATATTAAAAGTAAGGACTGCCAGTGAGGCAAAAGAAACTGACTCAATGATGATATAATGCCAATTTGTTTTCCATGGATCGCATGTCAGTAGCTGCTTCTCTCTTTCTCTTTCTCTCTTTTTTAATATCTAAAAAATAATGATTTCTGAATTCTTCCAAATTTGAGAAATATGTGTTACTGACCATAGTCTGTTGGGAGGTACGAATATTTGCTTATATACTAATATTTTGTTTTTATTTTCTACTAGTAATTACACCATGCACGAGTATGCCGTGCTTTAACGGTGCAACTTGTGTTGTGACATCACCAAGTAACTTTAGCTGTAATTGTAAACCTGGCTTCACGGGATCCCGGTGTGATGAAGGTAATTCACGTCAGAAAAACGATCGACTTTTCTCTCATTATAAGCCCTTTGATAATCTATGTTTCGGTATCCGTAAAAAACCGCTGTATTTCTTTAATGCACCGTCCAATTACTGAGGGCTAACCTCGTTACAGTTTCAAAACAAACACAAATATCAATGGTAAATACAAGAATGCATGTTTTTTATATTGCAATACTTTGTTGAAATTCAATGGACATTCATTCAAACTCACCAAGTAGGTTTACAGTAAGGTTTTTTTAATTATATTTTTATTTAGAAATATCAATTTTTTTAATGAATCCCGCCTGAAAAAGAACGTCTAACATTTATCTATTTGCTTTGGTAACATCCCAAAAATCCAATTCTCTTATTTTTCCAGTTGTTACACCTTGTACCAGTATGCCATGTAAGAACGGAGCAACGTGTTCGGTAACGTCATCCAGTACTTTTAGCTGTAACTGTGTCTTTGGCTTTACGGGCTCACAGTGCGAAAAAGGTAATGATTAAAAATTCGCAATATAGCTGGTAAAAAAACACATCAATTACTTCGATCTAGTTATGGTACCAAATGCTACGAACATGACATTATTTTTCATTAACAGTTCCGATTTTACTAAGGTTGCTTTTTTTTTTTGGGGGGGGGGGGGGGGGGGGGGTGTAAAAGGCTTTTGTGTTCCTCTATGTTAAATTATTATGGTCACCCTGTTGTAGTTAATCCAATGATCCCCTGCCTGGGGTCCTCATGATTCATATGTTGAGTCGTATATATCATCCGTTCGTGACCATTCGTGATCTCACGTCAAAATCACTGTTAAATCCTCTATTCCATGCGTAACCATGCGAAACAAATAGTATGGAAGTAGGCAGACTGACACATGCACAGTTGCATAAATGGTGAAGTCAACGGTCGCACGAGAAGGTGTACTATATCAGAATGGTAACATCATTGACTTATTTTAAATGAACAGACAGGGAACCACCCTCCCTCCCTTACAGTTTGACAAATTACGTAGCCATCTGCTCCCTCAACCGAGGTCTCGCATTTTCCCCATATCTCACTATTTATTCTATTGTGGATCATTATTTGCGCTTTGAAGATGCATTATGCATATTATGCATTGCACCGTTTCAAAAGCCAATGGATCGTAATAAACCACGCTCGGAAATCACGTCAAAATCCTCATCGAGTCCTCTATGAATTACGCCGTTATGAAAAGCCAATGAGTCATATTGAACCACGCTCGAAAAACACGTCGAATTCTCCATCAAAAATGTTATGAATTACGCCGTTATCAAAAGCAAATGGAGCGTAACAAATCACGTTCGAAAATCACATCGAAATTACAATCAAAACTTCTATGAATTGCGCCGGACGTAAACAAACTTGCTACTTCATATAATTCTAGTCTCTCTGCTATTCTGGATGTTCATGCCCCTTTGAAAGAAATGACTATGGCCATCCGTCATCCTGTGCCTTGGTATTCCTGTGAGATCAAACTTGCAAAAATAATGAGACGTAAAGCAGAAAAGAAATGGAGGAGAACTAAAGTAACACAGGACCTAAAACTCTTAAAGGATGCTCAAAATAGCTGCAATTTCCTGATAAATGAACCTAAACGAAAATTGTACCAATACCAGAAATCAGGGACAAAATGGCGGACAATCTAATTATTCATACTGCTTCTGTCCCTTTAAAAATGGCCGTCCAAAAGAGAGATTTGTATGGAAGGATTATTTCAAAACTGGATAAAATTTAATGTACTTATAGTTTTATTTGTCTAGTGTTTTACAAATACTTAGTGTTTCTTCACTAACAACTTGGAGAAAAAAAAAGTCCAAAAGTCTATGTTTTCCTTCGGTCAAACAGGTTATAGATTATAAAAGGTTTCTTGTGAATGAATTCCATACATTCCTTGTCATTGCCTTTATGATTCTCCGTAATAAAAATATAAAATTGCTCTGCACAAAGGACAAAGTCAAAACCTGGTGTTCAGGATCGATTATTTAGATATCAATGGTTTCATTTACCCTCTTGAAAAGCAATTCCTTCTTCTTTCTGTTCGGTCAAACAGCCATCAATATTACAGCATTTTAATCGCCAAAATATACGTAAAATTTCAAATATCTCGAACAAGAAAGCACCATTTCGTTTAATTAATATAACGTGTTTCAACGTGTTTCAAATGTAAGACCTTGACGGTTACACACAAGAAAAGTCCAACATCTTATGCTTCTATCTTGGGACAGAAGAACTTCTTTGAACTCAAGAGGAAAAAGATCTAGGAGTCCTCGTCTCAAGCAACCTCTCCTGAGACACTCATATTCACACCATTACAGCTAAAGCCAACAAGCTGCTTGGTTTACTAAAGAGAACGTATCCACAACTAACATACACTAGAACCAGAAGAACACTTTACTTGGCACGTCTGAAATCACAACTGAATTTTGCAACCAAAGTGTGGTCTCCAAGACAACTTAAACTCAAAACAGAAAGAATCCAAAGAAGAGCCGCAAGATGGTTTCTCAGGACCAAGGTTGGCGAGGTGCCATACAAAGAAAGATTAATTACTGGCACTCGACTTAGACTTCCTCTTTGCTACGACCGGGAAATGAAGGACAGTATTTTTTTATAAGGAATTTATATGGAACTGATCATCTTAAATGTTCATAATTTTGTTAAATTTGTAACGGCGAACTCGCGTGAATCAAAAACCCAGCCTTGTTCTCGAAGTCCCTTTCTGCAAGTCTAATACATTTAAATCATCTTATTTTAATCGATTAGTCTGTCTCTGGTATCCCATTTGTAAAACAGCCTTTCCTAAATTTTATCCAGCCTTTCGTCATTTTTGATAATAATAATAACAATTATACTTACAAAGCGCTAATTAGCATAAAATGTTCATCTGCGCTGTTTACAAAAAGAATATAGGCTAATAATAATAATAATAATAATAATAATAATAATAATAATAATAAGCCATAGCCCATTAGAAGAACCGGAGATACAGATCAAGGGAATGCACATTAAGAAACACCTTAAGAAAGCTGTAAATGAAAAACTCGTGGGGAAGGTTGAAGATCAACATTGGCAAGGAAGTCTACTGAAAGCAAGATGGCAGGATGATCAATTAAGTCATGAAGGCTGCTTTGCATGGCTTAACAAGTGGGTAAGCGCTCCTACCCATTGTGTTGCAGGCATTATGGAATTGTACGAACAGCTAACCCCAATGAGAGTCTACTCCGCCTACAAGACGGGAACAACAGACAAGAATAATGTCACATGCAGAATGTGCGGCGAGGGTTCCGAATGTCTGGCACATGTACTGGCTGGATGTCCGTCTCTTGCACAGTCCAAGTACCTGGATAGACACAACGCTGCTTTGAAAGTGTTTTTCTTTGAGATGCTAAGAGATCTCAAACTGGCTGATAGTACACCCCATGGTTTTCTGATGTCAAACCCAAACCACTCTACAAATCAACTG